CAGACTCTTAACAGGGACTAGAAAAAGGGAAAGTATTACTCCTGTTTTGTATTGGCTTACTATTGTGTTTTGAATTTACTAGTTTGTGTACAAGTCCCTGGTAGGCTTGGCACCATCCTACCTTTCTGATCTTCTATCCTACCATCAGACCAATACGCCTTTAAGGCCATCGAATACTTGAAACTCAAGGGGTATCTTACATTTTCTGTGACATCAACCAGATTGTGGAATAATTTGCCATTGTAAATATGATCTGCCACTTCTTTTCATTTTTTTTTAAGCATTGCTTAAGACACATCTTTTTTAAAACAGCTTAAGGACTGGAGTAATTTCCTAATTACTGTAATACTTAACTGTGTGAATTTAATTGTTGGGTAAATTTGTATTTTGTTTTGTTCTGTTCTATGTTTCCATTTTACTTTCGTGCAGCACTTTGTTCTACGTTAGATTTGACTCTATTCTGTCATTATTAAATGTCCTATATAAATCAATAAAACTAAACTCAACTTTGCAGATATTTTACTTTAATATATATATATATATATATATATATATTATAGATATTCTAGATATTTTAGATATTTAATATAATTTGTAATGGGATATGTTTAGATCTAATGAGGGAGAGAGTGGTTCAGATTGGTTTTGTGCATTTTAGAACGATTTTTCAGGATCCCTTCAATAAATAGAAAAGTAAAGATAGTAGATCTTGTGAGGGGCTTCGCACTTCTCTCAGGTTTTGAAAGCACACACACACACACGCACACACAAAGAATCATGACAGTGGAGAGCAAACACGCCTGTACAAACACAATTGTGACACCCAAACGTACGCGCACACACACACACCTGTGAAGAGGCTCATAAATCACTCAAGACATAAACAGGTTTAGCGACATGTTTGACTTTGGCAGATGGCTTTGCATAATATAACTCTGTTTTTCTCAAGTTGTCACCCCCCCCTGCTCTCCACCTCCCAATTTGTTCTTCATCACACTTCAACAAGCTGTCAATTAAAAGCTTTGACTGATAAATATTCATATTACTGCGTCAATGTTTCATGTGTGCACACTCACAGACAGTCAGAGGTTTCTGTTTGTACTTGCAGATGGTTTCAGTATGCATTGCTACGGTATGTATTTGGCATGTGTGTTTAGAAGGGTCGAGTGTTTTCCACAGCTCTCAGTAATGAGAGTTAGTCTGTGGGTTCCTCCAGTCCGTCTGCTGTTTTTATACCCAACGCTGCTGAATCATGGCGATGCTGATGACATATCCATCTGGCCCTCATCTACTTCCTGTCACTCTGCCTCACTCTCTTTTCTTCTTTCGCTGAGTGTCTCTGGAGTGATCAGTATGTCGTCCCTCTAGGGTTGAGAAATATCCGCTTTCCAATGTGCTTTAATAATTCTTCTTTTTATTTCAGTACTGTGCAGATGCCGTCTTCCCTCACGTCATTGACAGAACTGCAATATCAAAACCGTTCTTCTGTTTTTTCCATACACAAAAAACTTTCCATTGGACAGTTTTTTTGTTTTTTTTTAAATCGTATTATCTTATAAATATTTTAACGGTTTCATTTTACAATGGCTATTTCCTTTTTTACCAGCATGTATCTCACTCTCCTTCACTTTCAATATAATATTTATGCTTTTTAAATATATACATAAATGGATGAAATAAAATACAGTTTAGCATAATTTTACAGAAAAAATACAAGTGTGAATGAAGTGTCTAATATTTATTAATATTTTATTATTATTATTATTATTAACATTATTTATCCATATTGTTATTATCAAACAACCTTGTTTTTTCCTTTGAAATAGCGTTTTTTTTTTTACGTGTACCTCTGTCTTTCTTTTAATTTCCAATTAGTTTGAATTTAATTTAATGCAAATACATTTATACATTTGGTGTGGTGGATGAAATATCCAAACACTTTGTTTTAATATTTATTTTAATTTGTATCAAACAAACTCCTGTTGTTTGTCTTTTTAAAGTCCCCTCGGTGTCATATTAATTTAATGCATAGACATTTATTAGTGTGTTTTAATATTTATTAGTAATATCATTTTATTTATTACATTCATTTTATTCCTTCTTTTCTTTAATGCTGCTTCATAAAAGTTCATAAAAAGGTGACAGACAACACTATCAGATAGGCTTTCGTACAAATTATAGATAGCCCAATATTGAATTAGCATATTTAATTTAGATTGAAATGAAGTAAAACACATTGCATTTTAATCAAGACAAATTAAAATTGAATGTGATTTAAATTAGTCCAATCGAACTGAATCCGATTTCAGATTGATCTCAATCCCCTTCTCCTCTCATTAGTATTCATCCAGTACGGCCTGACCAATTAAAGCCATTTGTCAAATACCATGCCGAGCGCCACCCTTCCAATCAAGCTTCAATTAAATGCTTTTTGACATCTGTTTTCCCAGATATCACACTGGCGGCCTGGAGCCTGACAGTGAAGAACACAACAGAATACTAAATATTCCCATGAGCAAACCCGTCACAAACACACAGCCAGCCCTATCTCTCAATGATAACGTACCTGACAGTTACACACCGTGATAGCGACACTGACAGCAGAGTTGAGTGTTTGTGTTGTTTCTCTATAATCTCCAATCTACCACACAACACCGTTATGGCTTGTTTTTTTTGGTGCAGGAAACCTTAACCTACATTATAAATGCAATTCAGGCAAAATGTGTGATGCTAATGTGCTTAAACTGATATCGGTACAGCTGGTCAGCAGTCAGACAGACCACACATGTTAAATCTGCCGTCATCCACTGGAACGACTCTTCCTTGTGAAGAAGCTTTCTGGCCTTTAGTCAAAAACCTGCTTTCTATCTTTCTTTCTGTCTTTCCATATCCGTCATCCGCTCTTCTCTTCTCATCCATTACGGCCTTATCAATATAAATCTGACCATCTGTGTTGCTCAGGCGCCCCGTCTCTGCCAGAAGTGTTAAACTTATGCATAAATCAGCTGTGCCTCGTTTCTGTTTTAGCAGATTCCTCTAAGCGTCCCACCCCTCCTGAGCACCGAGGCGCTGAATTTATCACGTCGGTAATAAAAGACAGGTGGCTGATTTAGTGTTTGTAGAAAAAGGCACAAAGACACACACTCCCCAGCATCGGGTCACATTGCACCAATCTGTTCTCTGTTTTGAAATCAGAGATTCAACGCTCTGGCAGTGTGGATGATGTCCACACAGTGTTTACAGTGCTGCTTCATTGTGTTTGTTATGTTAATTTTTGTCAAAACTTGGACGTTTTCCAACTAAAGCCAATGAGGGTTTTGTTTTCACAGTCAGCCTTTTTTATTGTATTAAATTACACTATAAAGAGCGTATGAGATTTTCCAATAAAGAGTTCTTATACTGATCTCAGTGTAAGGCCCTAGTAAGACACTGATCAGTTGGTTCAGGTGTGTTTAAATGGGGTTGGAGCTAAACTCTGCAGGACGCAGTGTTTGGAGACCCATGCCAACATCATTGAGGAACTGCCTAGTAATGCCCTAGCAACCACTCAGAACACTTTAGTAACTGCCAAGCAACATGTACTAGTCTAGCAACACCTTTGTAACCACTCTTAACACCTTAGCAAGACTACCCTGGACCCTGTTTAGCTACAGTATTCTCTGACAACACCCTAGCAACCAATCAGAACACTATAATACCTGCCTAACAAACACTTTAGCAACTGCCTAGAAACACACTAGCACCAGCCAGAATTCCCTAGCAATACCTCATCAACCACTCTGAACATATTACCAAATGTAAAAAAAAAAAAAAAAAACCTTAACAAACACTTTAGCAACTGCCTAGAAACATACTAGTAACACAGTGAATTCCCTAGCAACCACTCTAAACATCTTATTGAATATTGGCAACCCCTTAACCATTACTTTTTCAAAATCTTTGCCACGGGAAAAAGAAGAACCACCCAGAATTCCCTAGCATAACTGTATCAACCACTCACTCCACTGCAGTTTTTGCCTGGCAACACCCTAGAAACCACTCAGGACACTGTAATAACTGCCTAGCAATGCCCTAGGCTTAATTCAGGACACCCTAGCTCTGGCTTTATGCCAGTCACATGATTTGGGGATTTTGTCAACCCACGGTTCAGCAGTGACATCGATTTCCTCTCTTTTTGCTCCGCTGTGCCTGATTGGGTAAAGAGGATGATCTCTCTCTCACCCTCTCTCTCTCTCTCTCTCTCTCTCTCTCTTTCTCTCTCTCTCTCTCTCTCTCTCTCTCTCTCTCTCTCTCTCTATCTTTTTCTCTCTCTGTGACCACAGACCCTTCATTTATTTATCATCTCCCTCTGTGTCTTTCTCACACACACGCACTCTCTCTCATATATATACTTCCAGACGTACAGACATCAGTATTAAAACAGTTTGACACATAAGATAAATGGCCAATGCTTGTGGTTGAACATGTTGCCACAAGTAATCCATTTTCTTTTACAGAAGATATGTGCGCTTCATAATGGCATTATTTTGGTTGTTCTGAAGGCTGTTTTTTTTTTATTTATAACAACAAAAAATACTCAAAACTGTGTTCTATCTCCACTGTACGACAGACTTTGTATCCAGACTTAAGTTTTATTAGTTCACCCACCAAAAAAAAAAAAAAAAAAAAAAAGTTTTTCCTCATGTCGTTCCGAGCTGTATGAGTTTCTGTCTTCTGTAGAAAAAGAATACTAAAGGAAAATCTTAACAAATGATGGTGCTACTTTTATGGAATCTTCATTCACTTTCATTGTGCAGCTAGTACATTCTTCAACATTTATCCTTTTGTGTATAAAGAAGAAAGAAGACATTCAGATTGGACCAACATACTATAAGGGAGAGTGATTTTTTTTTTTTTTTTTTTTATTTCGTTTTCTATGTGAATTATCTCTTTAACGCAGTTAACATTTTCTCTTCTGGCCTATAAAATAACAAAAAAAAAATCTTTCTTTTTTATTTCAGATTCCATTCTCGCTGGTGCAGTTTCCACTCTGGGAGTACCTAAAGGTATGAATCCACCTTTCACTTGCTCTAATTTCGCTCTAATTTGGCCTCATAATTTTGCTCAAATGAAGGAATAATGGCCTGGTAATTGTCTGACACATTTACAACCCAAACTACAAAAACTTTGCCACCATATCGGTTAATAACTCTCTCTTTTTAAGATGCTCTCAAAATGACGACGCATTTTATTGGTCGACCTCACCGGTGGTTAAGCGGAATCATAATTTCTCGCAAACCTCGAGTCTTAGCCAAATGTCCATTTCCTTTTTCATTGTCTGGTCCGGGCCACATAAAAGTCATTTCTCTTCAAAAAAGGCCCCGTTTGTGAGGATGACATCATGTCTCCCGGGCGAGAGCAGAAAATTCCATTAGCGCTCTTGGCCTAGCGACCAGAGCGAAGCAGGGAAAGAGAGGCATCGGAGGACAATAGCACGTGCAGCTGTGGGCGAGCTTTAACCGCAATTCTCCACCGTAATAAGGAGTGTCATTCATGGCCGCCTCTTTGTGGCACCTTCAAAGGCATTTTCTCACTCCTTCATTTGTCCATGTTTTCAGCCTCTCCGGCCATCTGTGTGGAGCTGCTGGAATGTGAGTCTTTGCTAAACTGTCTTTCAAAAGAGCATGGCTTTGAAAAGCAAGAAAACGTAGATGAGACAATGGGACAACCACAGAAACCGAAATTTCTCGGGCCAGAAGCATGTGTTCAAATTTCAATCTATCAGAAACGATCTTAAAACAGGGCTTTAAGTGTAAAATACCGAACTTGTCCTTTAAAAAAGGGCCTCAATCTACAATCCTGGCAAGCATTTCATGTTGGGAAATCAAACCTCAAGTATCACCAAACCAGTTCTCAAGTCATTCGCACCAAAAACAATTTAAGCCCCGGCATCCGAGTGGCAGGCCGCAGTAAACCATCTGTTCTCTCCAGCGTATCCCACAATTCCCAAAGTTTATCTACCAACAATCCCCTAAACTCAGCGCTGCTCTGTTACAAAACCACTGAGCAGCTGTGTCATTACATCAGCCGGCCATTTATTTCCCACCGTGCCCACTCAACTCGACATTTATGTGTCAGTGGATCAAACTTTTTCCCATGATTAAGTGCAAGTGTGTCATGAGCATGCCTTAGTTTGCTTTGAGTAATTGAAGCTGAAGCATACATTTGGAGTAATGCCTGGTCTAGGTGGTGTGTTCCGGAAAAGACTATAGTAAATAAATCTTACGTTCAGTGTTTAAGTATGATTAGAAAAAGTTATAATTGTCCACATAAATGTTTTTTAAATTGATCTCAGGCATGTCCTCGGTTAAATGAAATAGTTAGTTGAGTCAGACTTTATTATACTTATTATCAGATGAAATGTTCAAGCTACGCCAGACTCAGATGTGTGTTTGACATTGTGAGTCAAGCAAATCAGACTCTTTCTTTAGCCCTGAATAACCTAATTTCCCATTTTAGGCCCAAAATTTTTCACAACTACCTGCAACTCACTCCTCATCCACTGCCTAGAAATCCTCTCTCACTACACCTTTACTCAAATCTCTTCAGTGGCTTCCAGTAGCTGCCAACACACTGTTCCTGTCACACAAGGCTGCCAGTGCCTGGCTCGCTGCTTCTCACAGTGCTTTATTAAACCATACAACCTACCCTGACCATGTCAGTTTATCAAGCTCCCCATCTTTCCACATGAAAGGAGTCCAACTGCTCACGCCTACAAATGTCTTCATCCATGACCTTTCAGTGGTGAAACAAACTCCAAGTCATTCATTTAAAGACGTGCCAATTTTTGGTTCTTTTTTATTTGAATGTGACTAAACATGGTGTTAGTCACAAGAAGTATAGTTTTTTACATGTTGTTTTTTTTCTTATTTTTTTGGTCACACTTTATATTAGTATCCAATTCTCACTATTAACTATGACTTTTGCATCAACAGTCTCCTAATTACTGCTTATTAATAATTAGTAAGCTAGTTAAGTTTAGTTATTGGGTAGGAGTGAGGGATGTAGAATATGGTCATGCAGAGCATAAGGCATTAAAGCAGCAGTCCGCAGTTTTTCTTCTTTTTCGCCATCTCTGTTCAAAATCTGCAATAGCAGTCATTCGTAGAACTATTAACTAAACGTGAGTTGTACTTCGACACAGCACAGCGCGCATGAACACAATGTTTGAAGAGAGTGTTGCTGTCAGTCACCACGCCGGTGTGGATACTGGCATTCAGAATCACAGATTATTCTTTTTGGAAGTATGATATCATAATCATTTTCACCGGAAAATGTCCTCTGAACTAGTAAGTAACATCCACTTTTGTTCTTTTCTGATACTGCAGTAACGCTGATTAAATCTAAAAAAAGCTTATCATATCATGCAAAACCGTGCAAATTATACTTTGTTCTCAAATTGTTAATGTTAACAACGTCAGCATTGTGTGACTACATGTAATGTCCTTCCGATATGTATCCTTGTTTTTGCATAAGTCTGGTGTCTCTTTTTTTCTCTTTTTTTAGTCACTCCGAAGATGTGACGTAATGACTCAATATAACCTACTAGCTGAGACTCTTCTTTATGTGTACAGATGTGACGTAATGACTCAATATAACCTACTAGCTGAGACTCTTCTTTATGTGTACAGATGTGACGTAATGACTCAATATAGCCTACTAGCCGAGACTCCTCTTTATGTGTACAGACGTGACGTAATGACTCAATATATCCTACTAGCTGAGACTCTTCTTTATGTGTACAGATGTGACGTAATGACTCAATATATCCTACTAGCCGAGACTCTTCTGTATGTGTATATGTGACGTAATGACTCAATATATCCTACTAGCTGAGACTCTTCTTTATGTGTACAGATGTGACGTAATGACTCAATATATCCTACTAGCCGAGACTCTTCTTTATGTGTACAGATGTGACGTAATGACTCAATATATCCTACTAGCCGAGACTCTTCTGTATGTGTATATGTGACGTAATGACTCAATATATCCTACTAGCTGAGACTCTTCTTTATGTGTACAGATGTGACGTAATGACTTAATATATCCTACTAGCTGAGACTCTTCTTTATGTGTACAGATGTGACGTAATGACTCAATATATCCTACTAGCCGAGACTCTTCTTTATGTGTACAGATGTGACGTAATGACTCAATATATCCTACTAGCCGAGACTCTTCTTTATGTGTACAGATGTGACGTAATGACTCAATATATCCTACTAGCCGAGACTCTTCTGTATGTGTATATGTGACGTAATGACTCAATATATCCTACTAGCCGAGACTCTTCTTTATGTGTACAGATGTGACGTAATGACTCAATATATCCTACTAGCCGAGACTCTTCTGTATGTGTATATGTGACGTAATGACTCAATATATCCTACTAGCCGAGACTCTTCTTTATGTGTACAGATGTGACGTAATGACTCAATATATCCTACTAGCCGAGACTCTTCTGTATGTGTATATGTGACGTAATGACTCAATATATCCTACTAGCCGAGACTCTTCTTTATGTGTACAGATGTGACGTAATGACTCAATATATCCTACTAGCCGAGACTCTTCTGTATGTGTATATGTGACGTAATGACTCAATATAGCCTACTAGCCGAGACTCTTCTTTATGTGTACAGATGTGATGTAACGACTCAATATATCCTACTAGCCGAGACTCTTCTTTATGTGTACAGATCTCCCACTACTTCTGTTTAATGAGTTTTTGCATAAAATGTTTGACATTTTTTTGTTTGTTTGTTTTTTCATTTTGCTCTTTCTCGTCAACCAAAATCATAATTTTCATTTACTGAAATTATAGGTAAAATGGACTAAAATGGATCAACATTATGACAAAATATTTAGTAAACTTAAAGGATATTTGCTTCAGTATAGACTCTCAACAAGCTGTATCTCTTCCATGGCAGTAGATGACATGAAAGAGAAAACTGATTATAGAAGAAGACAGTCGACATGTAATCCACTATACTGCCCACATGTAGTAACACAGTAAATGCAGCACATACTGTACTTTCATTGCATTATAAAGGCATTCTGACACATTTTGGAAGGTAATGTTTTTTTTTTTTTTTTTTGTTATTTTGATGATAAAACAGGATTGCAGTTGAATGTAACACCTGTTTTTGTGTCAAACGTAGTTCATGTCAGGTTCATCCTGGCATGTAGATCAGTGGCCGATCAGTTTGTTTTGTGGGGAACTTGCTTTCAGTTTTTTTTTTTTTTTTTCTCAGTGAGTTTGACTACGAGTAATGGATGTTCTCCAGCACAAGCTCTTTGAACTTGAAAACAAAGGTTCTTCCTTAATCTGACAGTTAATGAAACACACATGATGTACTGACGAAGAGAACATTTATGTGTGTGTGTGTTCTTGTGCACAGAGTTGAAGAGGATCATTCTAAATTACTTCATGCTGTTCTTCAATTGTTTTCCTTTCTTAGCCATCAGATGCTCCTGGTCTGAGGTCGTAGGAAAACTCCAGCAATTATTTGCAGCCTGGCTGCATAATAACTCCCACCAAACACAACATAAAACCAACAAACACAAACTCACTGAAACTCCCCCCTCCTTTCTACAATAGTCCTTACACACACATTTCTCTTTAACATAACACATTCCTTCCCTCCTACTTCGCCTCTTTAAATACTATTAGTTCTAACTACAATTAGCCATCCTAAAATTAGTACAAATTGTGCAATTGACTGAGATCCGGTCAAACCTGCCTTACCTGTCTCAAAAACACAGTAGCGCTGTTCCAAAACCGAGTGTGCCGGCTGGTTAGCATTATAAAATCTCTTCTAAAAGGGCACAACATTTTGGTGGCTTCTAAGATGTCTCTCATTATTGCCAAACATTAATGCAGCAGTACATGTTTGCTTTCCAGAGAATGAAAATTCCAGAATGTATTGTAACTATAGTATGCATACAGAATAATTCAAAGGTTTGATGTCTTCAAAAAACCAAAACAATTCAATATTTTTTTATTCAGCATTGGATGTGTTAAATTGATCAAAAGTCACTGTAAAAGACATATATAAATATTTCCATTTTAAATAAATGCTGCTGTTTTGAAGTTTCTCTTTATCAATATAAATATATATACTCGCCTAAAATATTATAGGAACACCTGTTCAATTTCTCATTAATGCAATTATCTAATCTACCAATCACATGGCAGTTGCTTCAATGCATTTAGGGGTGTGGTCCTGGTCAAGACAATCTCCTGAACTCCAAACTGAACGTCAGAATGGGAAAGAAAGGTGATTTAAGCAATTTTGCACGTGGCATGTTTATTGGTGCCAGACGGGCCGGTCTGAGTATTTCACAATCTGCTCAGTTACTGGGATTTTCACACACAACCATTTCTAGGGTTTAAATAATGGTTTGAAAAGGGAAAAACATCCGACTGGGCCGACTGATTCAAGCTGATAGAAGAGCAACTGAAATAACCACTCGTTACAACCAAGGTATACAGCATTTGTGAAGCCACAACACGCACAACCTTGGACTGCAATAGCAGAAGACCACACCGGATACCACTCATCTCCACTACAAATATTATAAATGAGCAAGCAATATCCCTGAGCAAGACACTTAACCCCTAGTTGCTCCAGAGGCGTGCGACCTAGTAAGTTGCTTTGGATAAAAGCGTCAGCTAAATGAATAAATGTAAATGTAAATACTCAAAATAAAACTAAATAAAAATGCAAACGGAACAGGTCACTTGATATTCTGTGTGCTGTGTACTTTAATAGTTGTTTAGAGTTTAATATTTTTTTTGTTAGCTTAGCAACATGCTAACATCAAAGTCGATTGCATGTCACGTAAGTAGCACTCAATAAATAAAGTTATCTTTGATAATCGCTTCATGATTTTACTTATATTTTATGTCAGTTTGGATACTTACTACTTTGGTAGAAAGAACAGAAATAAGCCACACACTACGTTTTGGAACAGATCTAATATCTTAGCCAGCACTAGTATTTCCCCTTTTCATCATAATCTTCCATCTGTGACACTCATCAAAGCTCAATATCGTTTTCCCCTCGTTTGTTGGAAAACTCTGAACCAGCATGAAACAAGTGTTTTCCAGGGATTGATGGAGTTAGCATGCGTGTACACAATAGCGCTGAGCCGTGGAAGTCAGGGAAGATTTCTTTCTTTCAAATTTTGTCAACATTCCATGTGGGGAAAATGAAACTCTTGACATCATACTGGAGATGTGGACATTTAAGATAGCGGTTCTGTTGAGTTCCCATACATACAAACCCAAGGGAATTTTATTTTTATTTTTTTAATTGTGACTGATAAATGTTATAATCCCTAATTCTCTCTCTCTCTCTCTCTCTCTCTGTAGGCCGTGTGGTGGAGGAGGCAGGGGGGACGACTGGACTCTTGGCAGGCAGCAGTGTGCGGAGCTCTCGCAGGTGTGTGGGATTAGCCTCGGCACAGAGGTCTGGGAAAGAGAGCGAAAGAGAACGAGATATAGGGATGGGGTCCAACACCAGGAATATCCAAAATTTACCCAGCTGCATTCCTGTTTAATTCCACACAGGTCAAGATGGTCATATCAGGTTGTTCATCAGCTGGTGTGCACCAAAAGAGAAGGAATGAAACAGCTAATAGTAGGTGGAGAGTCAGTAGAGGAAGTGTGCAACATTGACCTTTTATTGCCCCTGCATCATGCTCTGTAACTTTCGTAGCTATTGTGAGCAGTCACAGAGTTTACGAACTAGAGTCAGAGTTTACTCTGAAGGAGCTCAAGTCTGGCCCAGGAGCCCTTGCAGCTGTCTAATTCCCCAGTCACCATCTCTGTCCAGAGTGATAATTCATCAGACACTGGGACACAATGGAGGGACAAGGATGCTTCAGCCAAAGGGGAAATAACATGGCTGCCAGCCACACCACCTGGGGTGTGATGTTGGATTCGGATTGTGTGCACACATGTGCTGCTTTGGCGCAGATGTATCGCTTTAGGTGGATTGCGGTTGTTAGCGTTGTTGTGAAACCACCCAAACAAATCTGAATAGTGATGCATTGTATGGTTGCGTTTGCTTGCCATCACTGCCACAGCTGCAAGCCTCTAGAGAACAAATGAGAAATGCTTTCTTTTCCCAATCTCTCTCCATCTCCAATATTGTGTCCTTTGACTTTTTAAGGAGTGTTGTTCTTGGTTTAGTACAAGATTGTGAATACAATACAATGTCACAACTTCAGTGGTAATCAATAGCAAGTCATGGATAAGTCAAGCAAAAGCAGTATCTAGAGTAATTCAGTTACAATGGGAGGCATTGCTTTTTTGAAAGTATAGCTATGAAGCGAAAACATTATTCGGGGTGGCATCAGTCTAATGATTAGATAAAGTTATATATTAAAGTTATTTCCTACTATAGATGCTCTGTCCATTACCATGATCATGTAAAGCTGGTAAATCCGGTGGCTACAGTACTTCCTCACTGTAAAAAAAATATTGATGCCTTAAAAATTTAAGTTGAACTGGAAAAAGTGAGTTAATACAATGAAGGAGATTAATTTAACCATCAGAAACTCAAAATTATATGTTATCTGAACTAAATAAATGATTTAAGTTGATTTGACAAAAGAAAAAATGTTGTGATTACTACACTGTAAAAAATATTGTTGGTTTAACTTAAAAAAGTAAGTAACTTGGGTTGTCTTAAAATTTTAAGTTGATTGAACTGGAAAAAGTGAGTCGAGAAGATTCATTTAACCATCAGAAACTCAAAATTTAGGCCAAGAAAATGAGCCCAACCGCTACTAAAGGTCACAACTTTATAACTCAAATTTAAATGTTTTTGTATGGAATAATTCATCTCCATTGTATACATGTAATTACATTGGAACCATTTGTGTACGTACTTGTAATCTTTTTGTTTGTTTTTACAATCTGAGGATTGAGTCAAAATTATATGCAGTCGTAATCATCAGTCTGTTCCTGAAATATCTCTCTAAAAACACATCACTTATGTTTGGGACATTTTTAATAGTTGGTTAGTGAAGTGAAATTAGGCATTATGGGAGAACTGGTTTATTTCAGCATTGAGAAGAACGTTTGAAGCTTGATGCTGTTGTTGGTCCGATCCTCTATTAGAAAAGAGAGGGAACTACTTTCTGTTCTCATTTACGCCCAAAACAAGTTTATGAATGTGTTTACGGGTGCGTGACAGTGCCAGGCTAGTTTGAAAAATTCATCTGCGTTCACTCTTTTTCTCCAGAACGTTTCCATCGGGTGATCAGTGCTGATCTCATGGCACATATTTACATTTATTTATCGGTGGTAATTATAACATGATTAACTCTATAATTAGTGCTTGTTTGTGTTTGTGTGCTGATACATCTGCACAAAACGTCTCTTTTCAGGTGGAGTAGCTGCGTTCGTCACGACTCCGCTAGATGTGGCGAAGACTTGGATAATGTTGGCTAAGGTGAGACTTTGAAACTGTTGTTTAAATCTGTGTCCTGATGCCTCCCAGATGGAGCGCAAGGTGAGCAAACAAACGGCCCTAATGTAGACAAAAGCAACAGAAGAGAGAGAGAGAGAGCGAAGAAAAAGCCTTAGTAAACACAGCTTGATCCAATAGCAGGGTTATCCAGGGACGCTACTGACGCACAAATGCACTCCCTCTTACTGTCCCCTGTCCAGTCGAGACTCAAAACAGACAGAGCTGTGTATGTGCATGTTAGATGTCAGAAGACGTTTGTATATTCAAGTGTAATTTCCAGTTGTCTATGGACTGGAACGGAACTGCACTTCAGAGCTGCAAGGCTGCAGACTTGGTATCTTGTGCAGATGTTCTGTTCCAAAATCTAGGCGGCATTATAAGTTCGATGCAAAGGCTATGCGAATTCAGCTTCTTCAGGCAATCCCAGAATGCACTGCTACAAATAATATACAGTGGGGAGAACAAGTATTTGATACACTACCGATTTTAGACTTGTATGCAATTTCTGGCGCAGTTTTAGATTATTGTCTCCTTAGCTTAGCAAGGTGCTAACGATAAACAATGTAGAAATCGATCGAGAAACGCTAATTGCTGCTTATTTTGTTCCTAATCTGTCATCTATGAGGTTCCATTGTTAGGATGCTGTCTTAGAAGTCAGCTGTCTATGTAGATCTCAAGGTTTTAGAACAGAGCTGTAGTGATGGACCCAACAGTAGAGCCATGTTTGGCATTTGAATCATTAATGCGGGAATATATCATTAAACCAAGATAAAAAAAAAAATGGAAAAATGCGATGAATTGTGAAGATACGTATTGACATGTACATAGCCTTTGCATTGAAGGTAACCACTCTCGGATAACCACCTGAGATGGTCTGAGTTTGTTTAGACTTGGCCCATTCTGTGAGTAATCAGCCACCTTAAAGGGATAGTTCACCCAAAAATGAAAATTCTGTCAGTATTTACTCGCCCTCATGTTGTTCTAACCCCGTAAGACCTTCGTTCATCTTCGGAACACGAATTAAGATATTTTTGATGAAATCTGAGAGCTGGATCACTCCTCCATACTAGTACATAGACTTCTTGAGGGATTGAAACTTGCCGGCCTCGGAAAGTTATTAAAGACATTGTTAAAATAGTCCAAGTGACCACAGTGGCTCAATCTTGAGTTTATCAAATGACGAGAACACTTTTTGTGCTCAAAAACAAACATAAATAACGACTTTATTTCAACTATTCACTTCCTTCTCTTTGCGCCTCTAGTCAGTTAAACTAGTGTAATTGCGTATGATTTGTTGTTGTACGTCACACGCATCACAAACATGACCAGCGTCGGCCAATAGTGAGCCTACGTGTGGCGTAGCTCTACGCAATTACACTAGTTTCATTTCCAAAAACTACATTTCCCTGTACTTTGCAGTAGAATTTAATGAAATGTAAGGTTAGATCTAAGTTTTTCACCGTCTAATTTATAGTAAAGGAACTTGCCATTAACCAATTAACAGGTTTTTACCGTAGCATTTTTGCAGTCTTTTACTGTTAAAACTTTAAACATTTTTAGTTTACTCGCCCTCATGTTGTTCCAAACCTGTGTGACTTAATATCTTCTGTGAACCATGAAGAAGATATTGTGAAGAATATTGGAAACCAAACAACATTGGACACTATTGACTTTATATGCAAGGACAAACAAACAAAAAAACATTTCTCAAAATATCTTCTTTTTTTTTTTTGTTCCAAAGAAAATGCACATTCATTTTTGGGTGAACTGTCCCTTTACAAATAAAACCATGTGGACTACACCAGTATGCAGTCATAACAGAAGTTGTTTATGTATAGAATCTTAAAGGTACGGTAGCACAAACGTTTATTTCTAATGGTCAGAGAGAGGATGGGAATGGTCAAGAAAAACTACATTTATACTTGACAAACATTATAAATGGAGTTGATTTTGCATTTGAATAAAATGTTGGCCCCTTAAAGAAATAGAAAAGTGAGTGAAGGATCTTTTTTGCACCTGATTCCTCGTGCCATTTGCTGTCAGAGTGAAGTGTCATGCATGCTTCAGGTCACTTCAGGTTACCTTGTGTTTGCCCAAATATCTCTCTCTCTCTCTCTCTCTTGGTCCATTTGACCAATCAAAGAAATTGAGACCTCATGTTGAGGCAGGTCTGCTGTACTGTGTGTGTTTTGGCCTACATACACTCCAGGCTGTTTTCCAAGCCCTGTGGGGAACTGCAGTGTACCGGGCTGCTCAATGTACAGTCAACTCATCAACTTAAACTCTGAAATATGAAAAACTAACCCAGTCTAAATATAGAGCCATCAAAATTAGTCTCAGGAAGTGGTGTGCCAGTGTAAAACACACAGTTGTTACGTTAACTCTCCTTCACAGTTCCCTGATATAGATGGCTGTTTTGAAGATGGTGCTGTGGGTTTGGAGAAGAGGGACTATAAATATAGAATGAGCAGAAAGGGGAGCTGTTGAACAGGTGGAGACGGTAGAGTATACCAGGAACAGAGCAGAATCGAGAGGAAGACAAAACACAGTGTGTTTACGTGTTTGACAGGAAGCTTAAAGACGGATCATCCATCATTACTGTGTTTTGTCTCTTTTCGTCAGGCTGGGACGAGCACAGCCAGTGGAAATATCCCAGCGGTTTTGTATGAGGTGTGGAAGAGCCGAGGAATAGTTGGGTGAGTGTCCTGAAACTGCCTTCCTCAGTCAATAAGCCAATAAGCTCCTTTTAAGAAACACAACCACATTCCTTTCCAAAATTTGGGGTCAGTAAGACTTTTTTTTTGTCAAGAAGTTAAAGGGGTAGTAAAGTATGATTTCACTTTTCTTACTTTAGTTAGTGTGTAATGTTGCTGTTTGAGCATAATCAACATTATCAAAGTTACAATGCTCAAAAGTTCAAAGCAAAGAAAGATATTCGGTTTTAAAGAAAAGGACTACAACAAACGGCTGGTTGGGACTACACAACATTCCTCCCGGGTTAGTGACATCAGCAACCCCAAAATGTACATAAATCCCGCCGCTGGGAACACGCAGTCCATGTTGAGAAGAGGAAAAGTTGTTGTGTAAGAGTACGTTTGTGAGTAAGCTCAAACTGTTTTCACATGCAGTTGAAAGTCACTCCGTGTGCATCTCACAACAGTTCCTATACGAGTGATTTATAGATTATCCTGACAGAATATGCTAATTGAAGATATTTAACTGCATAAATGCATAAATGCACCAACTAACCATTCAGAGACGTCTTGTTGCATTCTACATGTTGTCACTTCTTCTTGAGACTCTCCCATCTTTGACTGACTCCGTTTTAACATTAAAGGTAGAACAGTTTCTCTCATTTTAGTGCGTCTGCGTGAGGAAACCGCAACTGCTAACACACATCTTGAAACCCCGCCCTCTGCAGAAGCTCATTTGCATTTAAAGGGCCAGACACAAAACGGTGCGTTTTTGCAAAACATCAAAAAGCGACAACTTCAACATGCTATATAAAAATTTCTGTGGGGTATTTTGTGCTAAAACTTCACACACACACACACACTTTGGGCACATCTGGGATTTATTTCACATCTTGTGAAAATGTCATTTTACCACCCCTTTAATTCTTTTATTCAGCAAAGACCCAATAAATTGGCAGTGAAGGTATTTGTAATATTGCAAAACATTTTGCTAGTATGAAACTTCTAGTCAACAAAGAATCAAGAATTGCTTTTTAGCACATCTTCCACAAATATATTAATCAGCACAACTTATTTCAGCATTAATATTATTAAGAAATGTTTCTTGAGCAGAAAATCAGCATGTTAGACTGATTTCTGAAGGATCACATGACACGGAAGACACTGAGGAGTAAAGATGCTGAAAATTCATTATTGCCATTTCAGGAAAAAAAAAAAAAAATTTTTAAATAAAAAAAAAATATTTTAGATAATAAATTCAGCCTTAGTGACCATAAGATACTACTTTCAAAATTCTTACTGACCCTTAAAATGTTTATTGATAAATAATTTTGTATTTGATCACGCAATCCGCATTGCTTTGTGGGAGTGTCAAGTTTCTTAAGTTGTTTTTTTTTTTCCTGGTTTGTGCTTCAAATATTTTATTTCTAATAACACTTCATTGAATATATATTTTTTTTTATTTTCATAATATTATCTTCCTAAAAATATTCTTTCTTCTCTCCATCTAAAACTTTTCTCAAATTTCTTCAGTTGATGATTAACCTTTTTTAGGCAGTGCACACAATAGACTGTACGACTTCAATGAATTCCTAAAATCCCTTCCCAGATAACAATATTTAAAACTTTAAGAGAAGCCGGGGCAAAAAAACCTGAGAAGGCGAAGGGGTTTGCTTGCATAAGGGGCAACAACTCTGGCAGTTTCACTACTGCATGCCTTGTACAAATTGTCTGGCTTTAAAGCTGTAATTACTGTAATGGCTCCAATTGCAGACTAGTGAAGCCAGAAAGTGCTTCCATGTGTGTCAGACTCTGAGCTCTGCGGAAAGCTTCTAACCACACCAACCAAAACATCGGCAATCAATGCAACCATGCGTTTGTGAGCTAACCTTCCTCCCAGCTTTGAAGTGTTGCGACCCCAAACCCAGACTGCAGCCGCATACGGGTGGACCAGGGTGATGCAGCAGCCCGCTGAGAAAGTAATGCTAGCAATGTTATAATGACCTCCAGTTGCAGTGAAATCAATTGGTGTTTTGGTTAGATATAGTGTAAGTTGCCTCCTTTAGAGTGTTACAGTGATGCAAGACCTGCCTCTGATCAGAAATCTACTTTAGTAAGCTTGCGGTGTTTATAGAGCCATTAATAGGGGTGTTATTAGACCCGTCCACCGCTGACTTAGAGCTGGGCGAGGCAATTTCGTCACAATGAGCTCATCTTAATTTCCTTTTGTAGCAGAATGGTTTGTTGTTTGATTGCAAGATAATAGAAATTAAAATACACTTTGAAGTACATTTTTGATATGTTTTAGCCTACCTCAAGGGCATCCAAGATGTATTTGTCTTTTTTCCCCACAGTATTTTCAATTTTGATATTTTTAGGTCAAACCTTTCTTGTCCGTCAGTCATATAATGGAGGTATATGGGGTCCACCTCAAAGAGCACGCACAGAGTTGCTTGCTCTTTTCTGTGTGACTCGCCTGTTCGAACTCGATCATCAAAATGAATTAATATTTTTGAGTCATTTGGTTCATTCAACGAACGAAATGAACGAATTGACTCGCAAAAAGATTTGTTCATTTTGATTTGTTCATTTTCGAACAGGAGAGTCACACAGAACAGAGCAAAGCGAGCATTTGAGCTTATAAAACTTAATCTTTGTTGTTTTTTTTTTGTTTTTTTAAATGAGCAATCTTTTCACTTGATAAGACCCTTATTCATCGTCTGGAATCGTTTAAAGCCCTTTGAACAGTTTTCAGTTTGCAATGAAACTGTCTTTTGGACCTTGAACCGTTTGGTTACCAGTAAAGTCCATTATATGGCGAAAAATGCTGGAATGTTTTCATCAAAAACCTTAATTTTTTTTCGACTGAAGAAAGAAAGACATGGACATCTTGGATGACATGGGGGTGAGTAAATTATCAGCAAAAGTTTTTTTGGTTTTTTTTTAAAAGTGAACTACTCCTTTAACTACATTTCACTGCTGGAGCCGATGCTATTTTGAATGATTCTCTGTGACATTGCAGTGGTCAAGGTAGAGCTCTCAGAAATGTTATTAAAAGCTGTATAAAAGTGTGAACAAAATCAACATTAACTGGATGCACCTTTCCACTAAATTGGTTGCTTTGAATGTTTTTAATGCTATTTATCAGAACATCTGTATTTTTACTCCAATCTAAAGAAACATTGAGTGTCGCCTATACGATTAGTCTATACAAAGTTCATGCGATTGCATATTTCTGTTTTCCGTTGCCGAAGATAGGGTCAGAGCTGACTCAAAGCATGCACGAGAGGTTTCACATTTCTCTTATAGCGCATGGTCTGAAATGCCAACCCCACGCATCACAGACAAACTGTCAGAATGCCTCCTTGCTAATTCGTTCCAGGATGAGTGTGTTTGCTCACAGGTCCGCACACACATGCTCACTGTGACATAGCATCTCTCTGTAAAACACACGATCCCAGCAGAAGCATGCTGAAACGTCGAGTTCTGCGAATCACTGGAATAGTCAAGAGATCCCTGACATGCTTGGCACCTTGTACAGCTTTGCAGTTGACAAAATTGATGTATTAGAGGTTACACCACTCGTGACACTTATCTCTAATTTTAGATCCGGCCCACCCCCACTTTCCGACCTCCATTATCCCCCCGCAGGTGTCACACTGAAGGACTTGAGGAGGCTGATCTCAAATCAGTCGGTTTGGATGGCTTGACAGGGTATGAATTGTGATTTGTGAGCAAGACATGGATTTCAGCAACTTTCAAGAAAGACTAAAAAGAAAAAAAAAAAACGTGAGAAGAGTTGAGCAAGATAAAATGGAACGAGAAAGGAAGCAGAAGGAGCCCGAGCGCGAGTGCTGTGGTTGTGCTGGGAGCCGGAGGGACGTGTGTGGATGTCATCTGGCCATCAGTCATGCGGAGAGGCCCCCGGGGGCCCATGCTTATACCAAAAGCAGCTGCGTGGAAAAGAGCCTTAGGAGACTACAGTACTTTCATGGCCTGTCGCATCCTCTAACCTCTCCAACATCAACAACCCCTACACTGCACATTCCTGCTCAAACGCTCCGTAATCCGTCAAACAACACACTGTCAGCTGAGAAATACCCAATGCTTGTGTTATCGAGCATGGCTAATGTTTCATTTTATGCTGCTCTGTGAATTTAATTTCATCTAAAAAGTTACGTCCAAGCTGGTGTTGCTGATGTAGCAGCTAGTTAACAAAATTAATATTGTATTGACAGTCATACATGCATACATACTGTATATTACACTTATATGTCTATGCAATATATATATATATACACACACAATAATGTTCAACAATTTGGGGTTGGAAAGATTTTGTTGTTGAAAAGGTTTTTTTTTTTTTTTGCTCACATCTGCATTTATTGGATTTTTTAATTTTTTATTTAATTTTTTTTAAATACAGTAAAAATGACTATATTGTAAAATATTGTTAAAATTTATATATATAATTTAATATATTAAAAAATTTAACGTATTCCTGTGATTGGTAAAGCTGATTTTTCCAGCATCATTACTCCAGTCTTCATATCAAATGATCCTTCAGAAATCATTCAAATATGCTGATTCAATGCTCAAGAAACATTTATTATTATAAATGTCGAAAATATTGTAGAAACCTAATGACAAAAGATAATAAAATGAAAATTCGGTCCCACTTTATATTAAGTGGCTTTAAGTACTTTCATTGAAACAAATAATTTGATACAATGGACTTATTGTGTACATACATGTTTTTACATTGTACTTATATTTTTTAAATACCAGCATGTAATTACAGCTGTAACTAATTTAAGTAATTACATCTGTAATTACACAGCTGACCCATCCCTTACACTTTAACCTACCCTTAAACCAACCCATACCACCACACCGGTCCCTAACCTTACCCAGATCACACCTCAATAGCAGCAAAAAGTGTTTTACAATACATCATGAGCACAAGTACATTGTACTTATTTTTCAACATAGTACTTAAAGCCACTTAATATAAAGTGTGACTGAAAATTCTTGCAAAAGGTGTTTACAGAGATAAAAGCAGTCCAATAATTTGCGTTAAAGAGACGCGTCTCCCATTTGCATTAAGCTTTGTATTTTTAGAAACCCAGTCATATTTTTGAATGGTCATGGTTTATTCCCTTATTTTCCCCTGAGATGGGAGAAATAAGGATTTAAGTGTTTTACCTGCTTATTATGACGTAAAAATCGTCATTTTGCTTCATGATAAGCAGGAAGTCACATTTTATTGAAAAGTGTAGAGAGACTACAAACATTAGCTCATTATTATTCAAGGGTGTTTGGACCCACTCACCCTACAGGCCTATTACAGATCAGTGGGTGGGACTTCACTTGCAGAAACTGAAATCAATATCCGCCATCTTGTTTTTGGAAGCTAAGCTAACAAGCGCTGTGGAGATAGGAAGTATGACAATGACAGAAGAAACTAAACATGATATGGAAGAAGAGGATTTTGAAAGACTGCTGCTCGAATCCGATGTTCGAGCTGCAGTATAAGTTAGTGAAGAGCAGCAGAGGCTTATGGAGGAACTGGAGGCGGCTGCCTGTCCAGACTGGCTTGAGCTGAGGCGGACTGCTGGTTCATGTGCTCTCGCTGTGAACTACGGCCTACTATGGACTACTACTATTCACTGACTATACTGGTTGTGCTGCGTGTTATCAAATTTTAGTAAAAAGAAACGGTTTGTAAGAGTTTTTGGTTCGGGTTTTTGGCATTTGTATATCTAACTCTTGCTTTTATGTTTTTGTCGTCATGTCTAAAGGCTATTCGCCGGCAGCATCCCGAGAGTGACGTTCATCAGCATGGGAGGCTTCATTTTCCTCGGCGCATATGAGAAAGTGCGCCGTACGCTTTTATAAACACCCTCTCCATGGAACAGTGTGTGTCGGATTCCTCAACCCAAACCCTGACCGTACGGCCACTGCCGAGGAGTGGAGGTTGGTCAAATCTGACTGAGGAGCGCACCCTCTGTCCCAGTTTGAACCGCTGGTCTCGAGTCCACGGCTAGGACACCTGGTGTCTGGATAAAAAGATCACATAACACAGGGGTTTGCATTCCTGCTCAACAGTGCACAACAGATTGAGTTTAACAGCCTGAATTCCACTTATGTTGCACCACAGATCGGGTTCAAACTCAAATGTCATTTTTGCAAACCTATGTGAATCGATTAAAAAAAAGTTGTGTTTTTTTTTTTGCAAAAATGAATTGGCTATTGTATTACAACATGATTGCGCTGGTCCTTTATGCGCTTCAGTCATGAATGCACTAATTGGTAACATGTTAAAATGCGTAACCGATTTTATTCCAGTGGATTATCGTTACATGTCAAGTCTAGACTTTGATCCCCAAGATTAAGATAGTTGTTCTACCTGCTTCACTATTATTAGCTGAAAAAACACGAGTGCAACAGAATGCAGAGAAAGACGGATTAGTCCACAGGTGCGAATGTTTGTCTGACCTGTCATGAAGCTTGGGGCACAAGAACAACACAATACTGAAACAGTGGGCCGTTCCAGTCGACAACCACCTTACACTGGTATGTGCTTTCTGTCCAAACACAATAGAGAGGAATGAGTTCGACCAAATGATTAGAGGTTTTTGGGGTTTCTTCAAACAGTGAGGGGGCACTAACTTAACCTATTCATGCAAAGTATGTTCAACCAGTGCGTCAAAAATAAAGACACAAACCGGAGGGAGTAAAAGAGCAACATGTGACTTTAATAAACACTTGTCATTTTGACACTTCAACAGTTTTAGCCATGTGGGTGAACAGCTGTGATTAGAGTTCATTTCAATAAATTAATCTGGTATGACCCACACAGATGTGAACTAGTGGGGTTCTTCACACAGCTAGATTACAGTTGCCCAGAGTATCAAAGTCTGCTATGGTCAATTTCAACTGTTTTGGGTTAAACTGGCATTTGCTGTAATCGAACCGTACAAAAATTTCCCCTAGTTTAGTAGTAGAGCCGTTTGACTATTTGGCCTAAAAACCTTGGCTGTTGACATGAACCAGTTTTTGGCTCAGGTTAACCAACAAAGACAATATGTAGCTTAGCATTAATTGCTTTAGTCCTGAGACTATGAGTGCTTAGCTGATGAGGGGTTCACTTATTCCCGTTTTTTTTTTCTTTTCCCTTTACATGTAGACATTCTGTGTGGTTGAAAGAAGACCCTGAAGCCCAGCACACATAGCTTGATTTTTTTTTTTTTTTGAGACGCTCTTTCCCTTTCGTGATTTGGCAGTATTCGGCTTTTCTGTTAGCTAAAAGTCGGTTAGAACAAATCTCTCTAAATGTTAATTATTGGATAATTTGTTATTTTCCCAAATGTTAAAGGCGGCGGTCAACAATTACATTTAAAAATTGGGTTCAAATACCACAGGTAGGTGAGTGAAGCAGCTTTTGGTGCCATGTAGCTTTGATAACGGAAGAGCCTCGGTTGCATCAGAATTTCAGGCTGGAAAAATGTTCAATTCGTGTGTTATAAGAGTCCTCAAAGTGCTTACGTTTTCCCTTATGCCAATATTTGCCATTTCTGTACCATAACGGACCTGAAATTTCAATGCCGAGCTTTTCCTTCATCACAGACCAGAACATACACGTCTGACAAAGGACTATTCCAGGTTAAACACCAGTTAGTGATGACAAATACTTGTTTTTGTCAGCCCATAGACTGCTATTGTAATGCCTTTTTGTACACCGTTTTTGCAAACTGAAGTATGAATTGCGATTCATTTTGTGGTAAATGACACAACGCTGTGTTGTGGGGAGAAATTAACTTTCCCACACCTTTTTACCAGTGAATTTCCATGATTTTGGTAAAAGGTGTGGGAAAAGTTACCCACAACACAGCTTTGTGTCATCTATCATCATTACTCAAACATCATTTCTAGAGATTGTACATATACAGTATATATATCTTCCCTCAAAAATATAAATTAAGACAAACTTAATCTACCATTCAAAAGTTTGGGGTTTGTAATATTTTTTAAATATTTAAAGGCGTAATAGGCTCATTTTACCACTCCCCCAGAGTTAAACAGTTGAGTTTTACCATTTTCAAATCCATTCAGACAATTTTCTGATATTTAGAAGAATATCAGTAACCAGACAGTTTCTGGTCTCATTGACTTCCATAGTATATATTTTTTCCTACTATGGAAGTCAATGGGACCAGACACTGTCTGGTTACTGATATTCTTCTAAATATCAGAAAATCGGCTGAATGGATTCGAAAATGGTAAAACCCAAACTGTTTAACTCTGAGGGAGTGGTAAAATCTCCAAAAAAAAAAAAAAAAAAAGTGGAGTATCCCTTTAAATGCAAGTCTCAATGCTTGCCAAAGCACATAAATATAGTAAAATTGTTAAATACAGAAAAACTGAATTGTTAAATGTAACTTCTGTGGATGCTTTTTTTTTTAGATATGATGAATAGAACCCTCAAATGAACAGCATTTAATTGAAATATATATATATATATATATATATTAAACTAAATGTCATCAAGGTCACTTTTGATCAATTTAAAGCATGCTTGTTGAAAAAAGTATTAAAAAAACCCCTAAAAATAAAAATATTACAGACCCCCAAAACATTTGATGGTTTTTTGAATTTTGAAGATTTTGTAAAAATTCTAGGCATCAAAAAGAAAAGAAAGTCCCTAATCTTTCCAGGTTTTCTGATCATGGGCACCCTGTATCTTATTAACCTAGAATATTCCTTTAAGACAGCCTATTATGATCATTGAGTTATTTAAACTTCAAGTGCATGACAAAATTCCCATTTGTGAAAGGAAAAATATACAGACATCTCCCAACAAAACACGTGGATTCTTTGATCTTGCAATAAGGCACTGCTTATAAAACTGGGAAAAGCAAGAGAGATCCGTAAAGAAATAGAAATAAAATAACCACTCTGATCTCACCATGCAGCGAATAGAGTTAAACACTCTTTTGTAAAAGTTCTAGAATACATACATTCATATATTTATATATGAAAACTCTTATGTACAGCTCAAAGCCCAACGTTATAGCACTCTGTCATACGTTTTGCATGCGTCAAATGCAAGCCACATTTCTGAAGTGTGAACAAAGCCTCCCTAAGGAGGATTATATCTATATACATCATTAACGCTCGTATGGGACGCCATCGTCCCACTCAAGCTTCGACTTCAAAACTCCGGACGCCCCTATTCTGCATTCAGATAGACGGGGGCAGCTTTGTCTGTGCCCCTCAGTGTGAGGTAGCAGTTCTCAGTGCAAAAGAATTAAAAAAAAGAGTGATGGTGCGCTGTTAGTCACTGGCCCGCCCGAAAGATTCACTCTCGCTTAGGGTGACATCAGGCGTATATGCGTGTCCGTTGGGTAATAGAGTCTGTGTAAGCTCAGACCCAATGTCACAGTCCCCAGACAGGAGCTTTACTGGCCGATGGTAGGTCTCTTCAAGTGAGGGAGGTGTGTCTGACCGATTCACCAACAGTCCTGAAAGAGGATAAGAGAAATTAGGAAAAACAAGAAATATTATCGCTGTATTAAGTCAATGTGAAGTCAATCATCAACATGACATAAATCAATCAAAACTAACATTAAGTGATGGCAGTAGTAACGATTTATGGGACATGAGTGAGACGAGAGCAAAGGATTGATGAATCCATTCCCTCATCATTCTCACCTTTTCGGTCGTACTGGGGCGATGTTGTCACCCTGTCGTGGTTGGTGGGAAAGATGGGAGTTTGACACTCTTTCCTGACCCCGTTGGGTGTGCCATTGCAGTGTGGTTCACCAGTGTTGTGGGTGATGAATGATGTCTGGTGTGTTTGCTGATACTCCAGGCCTGAAGGGGGCACTATCCCATGAGGGAGGTAGTTGCAGTGTTTGGAGTAACTTGTACCGTTTTCCAGGCAGTCTGTACACACATCATAGCCTGAAGCGAGAAAAGCTTGTTAACATTTGATGTTATGCGAACATCATTTAAACGGACACATTCAAAGTTGACACGACATAACTATTCACATTTATTCATCTATTTTGTAAATAAAGTTTATAGATCTTATTGTGAACCTACGGAGCCCCTCTAGTCCCACTTTGGTAAAAAAAAATAATTATAACTATCTTGTGGCCTCAAGATAGTAACTCGTGGCCTCAAGATAGTAACTCGTGGCCTCAAGATAGTAACTCGTGGCCACAAGATAGTAACTCGTGGCCACAAGATAGTAACCCGTGGCCACAAGATAGTAACTCGTGGCCACAAGATAGTAACTCGTGGCCTCAAGATACTAACTCTATCTTGAGGCCACGAGTTACTATCTTGAGGCCACGAGTTACTATCTTAAGGCCACGAGTTACTATCTTGAGGCCACGAGTTACTATCTTGAGACCACGTGTTACTATCTTCAGGCCACGAGTTACTATCTTGAGGCCACGAGTTACTATCTTGTGGCCACGAGTTACTATCTTGAGGCCACGAGTTAGTATCTTGAGGCCACGAGTTAGTATCTTGAGGCCACGAGTTAGTATCTTGAGGCCACGAGTTACTATCTTAAGGCCACGAGTTACTATCTTGTGGCCACGAGTTACTATCTTGTGGCCACGAGTTACTATCTTGAGGCCACGAGTTACTATCTTGTGGCCACGAGTTACTATCTTGAGGCCACGAGTTACTATCTTGAGGCCACGAGTTACTATCTTGAGGCCACGAGTTACTATCTTGTGGCCACGAGTTACTATCTTGAGGCCACGAGTTACTATCTTGTGGCCACGAGTTACTATCTTGAGGCCACGAGTTAGTATCTTGAGGCCACGAGTTAGTATCTTGAGGCCACGAGTTACTATCTTGTGGCCACGAGTTACTATCTTGAGGCCACGAGTTACTATCTTAAGGCCACGAGTTACTATCTTGAGGCCACGAGTTACTATCTTGTGGCCACGAGTTACTATCTTGTGGCCACGAGTTACTATCTTGAGGCCACGAGTTACTATCTTGAGGCCACGAGTTACTATCTTGAGGCCACGAGTTACTATCTTGAGGCCACGAGTTACTATCTTGTGGCCACGAGTTACTATCTTGAGGCCACGAGTTACTATCTTAAGGCCACGAGTTACTATCTTGTGGCCACGAGTTACTATCTTGAGGCCACGAGTTACTATCTTGAGGCCACGAGTTACTATCTTGAGGCCACGAGTTACTATCTTGAGGCCACGAGTTACTATCTTGAGGCCACGAGTTACTATCTTAAGGCCACGAGTTACTATCTTGAGGCCACGAGTTACTATCTTGAGGCCACGAGTTACTATCTTGTGGCCACGAGTTACTATCTTGTGGCCACGAGTTACTATCTTGAGGCCACAAGATAGTTATAATTAATTTTTTTTACCAAAGTGGGACTAGAGGGGCTCCGTATGAACCATTAATCAATGCACATGTTTTTGTTTAGTTTACCCTGTACTGTTTAATCAAAACTTTATCACCGGAACACCTCTGGTGACACATGCAGGACTTTAAACCCTCCCCTTTCTTGTAATCGACTTCAAGCTAATACATTTCTTCTTATTTTTGACTGAACTGATCATAATTTAAGCTGCCAAGTAGAATATATTACCATTGTCGTTACTCTCCATTTAACACATTTTGCATAGTTGAAATATAGGTTTTTCTCTCTCAAAAGGTTCTTGGAAAAGGTCAGGAAGATTCTGTCTGGATCTACAAGAGAAGCGTGGATACTGTACCATTGTTTTCTATGTGTCCGTTGGGTTGAGACCCGCCATTGGACTCCACTCGTATACACACATCCTGTCTCTCTGATAAAGTGCCCTGAGAGGACAGGTAACTGGGGACATCAGGAGGGACAATTGTCTCATCTATAAAAAGGCAAGAGCAAAGGTTTTAAATAAGTCTTGTGACTCAAGCATTCAGAGCCCTAAACAAACAAACAAACAAAATCTGTGTGAATACACACACCTGTGTTTACACTGCACTCCTCGCTCTTCTTCCTCGTCTGGTAGATAATACACACCCAAACTAGTGATGTCACCACAATACTGGTCACCACAGCTATGACGATGATTCCAACAGTAACAGTGCTGGGGCTTGTAAAAGGCGCGCAGTCCTCGTATCGCTGGTAAACACTGAGCTGGCAGTGAGCTCGCTCTGTGCCAAGGGTGTTGGACATGACGCACGTGTAGCGTCCTGCATCCTCAAAGGTGGTGGTGCCGATCACCAGGAGCTGATTCCCTGGAGTGAAGTGGTGACGGTCGCTGGGGCGAAGAGGCTCCTCCCCCTTTAGCCAGGTGATGCGAGGAGGTGGGCTGCCTAAAGCCTTGCACTGCAAAGCAACGGTTTCACCCACCACTACATTTCTATCCTCCATTTCCTGTGCCAGATGAGGGGTCTCTGCAGGAAGATTACAGGGAAGAGTTATTGAATTACATACGCACATGAGCAAATTTGTCCAA